TATATAGATAGATAGATAGATAGATAGATAGATAGATAGATAGATAGATAGATAGATAGATAGATAGATAGATAGATAGATAGAAAGTTGGATGGATAGATAGATAGGTACATTTAGAATTTTTATGTTTCAGAATGCACAAAAGGCACCTCTTTCCCGTCATGTTCGTTCGCACTCCGCGAACAGTGGTATCGCTATGTAATTGACTATTTACAGAGATATGGAAGTGTTACTCTGCTTAGCGATCGTCGGTACTCTCTTGCCGGCCATCCTGTCGGCATCGCTGACTAATTCTTCCCGTGACGCTAATGACATTTACGTCATGGCTCTGCTGCCTATGGAGGGATACTTCCCGGCAGGAGAAGCGTTTAAAATCGTCATTGACATGGCACTGGAGAGAATTAACAACCGGTCGGATATCTTACCCGGTTATCGACTCAACCTCATTTGGAATGACACGAAGGTAAGCCGTTTATTTCTTCTGCTCCCAACTACTCAATATTATATTACTAATAGTCAACCTGTAGATTTATTGCATTATACCTCAACTCGATATACCGCAGATCTGTCTGTATAGAGGGAGACGCCGGTTATTGATGGTGCTGCCTCCGACACGTATATATGCGCTAGTTTGGAGTTATTTAATCAGTAACTGTGTATTCAGTCGTTCGAGCCACCATTGTCGTTTCACCCGACCCTAAATATTTTATTTTTATGTGTGCTAATTTGTTCTCGTGTGTTGTGTGCATGTGTGCCCGCGTGCGCGTCNGATCGAGAGATGAGAGAGAGGAGTTGAGAGAGAGAGAGACACAGAAGAGAGCACAGCCAGAGAGAGAGGAGAGAACAGATGAAAGACAAAGAAGGAGCAAAGGAAAGAGAAAGATAGAGATTAGAGAAGAGAGGAGAAGCGAGACTAGAGAGAGCGATCATCGCGGGAGATAGAACGAGATGAGAAATGAGAGAGGTCGACGGAGACGAGAGAAGAGGAGAGAGAACAGAGGAGAGAGAGAGATGAGGAGAGGAGGAAAGAGAGAGAGCGGCAGATGATCCGCGCGGCGAGAGAGCGAGACCAGAGTGACAGAGGATAAAGAAGAAAGAGCGGAGAAAGAAGAAGAGAGACAGAGAGAGAGAGGAAGTATAAGAGAGAGAAGAGGAGCGGACAGAGAGGGAGACGAGGGAGAGAGAAGAGGTGAGAGAGGGGAGAGAGAGAGAGAAGAGGGGGAGGAGAGAGGAGAGAGAGGAGACGGCGGCGACACGACGGTGAGCGAGAGGGGAAAATAGATAGAGAGAGAGAGAGAGAGAGAGAGAGAGAGAGAGGAAAGAGCGCGGCGCGAGGGGAGCGAGCGACGAGAGACAGAGCAGCGCGCGACGAGAGAGTATAGAGTGAGAGAGCGCGCGCGAGAAAGAGGGACAGAGAGAAAGAAAGAGAAAAAAGAACGAGCAGGACAGGGGTGAGAGAAACGATGATGAGACGAGAGGAGAAGAGAGAGGAAGAGAGAAAAAGCGAGAAGAGACGAGAGCGGAAAGAGAAAGAGAGAGAGAGAGAGAGGGAGAAGAGGAGGAGAGAGCGAAAGAGAAGGAGAGAGCGAGAGAGACAGAGATCGAGAGTGACAGAAGAGCGCGAGCGAGAGACGAGAAGATGATGATGTGAAGAGAGAGGAGAGAGAGAGAGAGAGAGAAAGAATAGAGAGAGAGCAAGAGAGAGGAGAGAAAGAGAATAGAGAGGCGAGAGAAGAGCGAAAGGAGAACGAGAGAGAGAGAGAGAGAGAGACGAAAGAGAAAGAGGAGAAGAGAGGAGAGAGTAGAGAGCGAACGAGAAAGCAGAGAACGAGAGAGGAGCGAGTAGAGGACAGGAGCGCGCGCTGCGAGAGAGAGACAGCAGGAAGGGAGAGAGAGTGAGAGGAAGAGAACGAGAAGAAGAGAAGAGAGAGAGAGAGAGAGAGAGAGAGACATAGAAAGAGAGAGCGAGAGAGCGCTAGAGCGAGAAAGCCAGAGGTCTGGTCGCATTTGGTACTAGACAACACCTCAGATACATTCCTGCTCACGACATTGCAGCATCGCTTGGAGAAGAGAAGACCCGGCACTTCCTGTGTTTCACGCCTTCAGTGGCTGCGATACCGTGTCATTGTTTGCTGGTCGAGGGAAGAAAACTGCTTTTGACATCTGGAAGTAATTTGACGAACTCACACCAGTCTTCCCTGCACTATCCACCACACCAGCGAGCTTCAACGAAGATTGCATGAAGGTGATCGAGTCGTACGTCATTTTACTGTATGACAGAACTTCAACAGAAACCAGTGTTGACCTTGCAAGGAAACATATATCTTTGCTGGCAAAGGCAGGTCCATCGATGCCATACCACCAACTCGTGCAGCCCTGTTGCAACACACGAAACGGGCCATACATCAGTGCGGATATGTGTGGGGACAGGCGCATATCTGTTCCCCAGATATTCCCTCACCAGAGTTTTGGGGCTGGAGAAAGACGCGCGTATACCCATCACGAGGATGGGAACCACTATGGACACTACTACCAGCAGAAGAATCCTGTTCGGGGCTTCTCCGATGTGGTTGCCAGAAAGGGTGCAGGGGACACTGCAAGTGCGTCAAGGCCGATTTGCAATGCACGTCACTTTGCCGCTGCAGCGGTAACTGTGAACACAATGACGTTTAATGATCCTACCAGATGTGATCCCAAACAAGTTAGCCAACTCTTGTTTACTATGAACATGCACAATAATGTCAAGAGCTAATAATACCTAGGTATTATTTATAGGTATATATTATATTTTATATAGGTATTATTAGCTCTTGATAATGTATATATTATATTACCGACAGGATCAATCAGTTATTTGGTTGTGCCGTATAAAACATCTGGTCTATGATGGTATATTACTTTGTTGGTCTGTTGTATTGTTGGATTTAATCATACAATCGACCATTTCATTAGTTTTGGTGCATTTTATCATTTTAATTGGATTCAGTGTGTATGTTGGATTATTGTTGCTACATAATTTTTTATACTTCCATTGTAGTCCTCACATGGGAAAACCTATGTGTAGACACTAAAATCATCGCCCCAGCTGGATTCTATCAAAAGTTATTGCTGATTTCCCATTTTGGGCGAATAGCCACGGCGGCCATTTTGGATTTACGCAAATAGGTGCATTTTATCAACTCGTTTGTGGTTGGAATAGATTCAGCATGTATGAAAACATAGAAAATGACACTTTATTCATGTTTGCACGATATTTTGTCACAAAGATATGTCATTTTTAAGATATTCGGAATCGGATAGCGGCCATCTTGGAATTTGCTATTTGTAGGCCCCAGGGAAAAAATTGAGCTTGGCACGATATCTAAATTTGTTAATTATATATTAAGCACTGTCTGTACCAAATTTGGTGCTTTTACCACAAAATGCACAATTATTTCACGTATCTGCCGCACTAATGGTGAATGAGCTTCCAAGCTGTTTGAATGCTTCTTGAAAGTCTGTAGATTCACGCATCATTTTCATAGTTTTTTTCTTTGACTTGCCGTAGAAGGAGCTCACCGAATCACAACCTGTGAAGCAATGTAGTCCGATGAGGGCATCTGTTACCTCACGTCCACGATGGTTTTGTATGGCACTCAAATTCAATGTAGGCCTACGTTTGTTGTTTCCTCTGTCAGTGTGAAAGAGAAGTTCGGCCTCAATCATGTGAGCTTTAGCCACACCAATAATAAATACATCCGTATCTGGGCTTCTAATGATGACTGCTGGCTGTACAGCTGATGGCGAAGCGAGAGATGCAGCAGCATACTGACAGTCACAGTGTACGAAGAGCCGTG